CAAGTACAAGTACAAGTACAAGTGAAGAACCAGCCTGAGGTGTCTGTACCAGCAAAAACTGAGCTCAGGTGGGCCACGTGCGGCCCTCCCGAGCTCCCTTTTCGCTGGTAGAGGGTTGCAGGAAGCCGTTGCAGCTGAAAATGGAGCTCGGAAGCCTGTTTTCGCAGGCAGAGTGCTTGGGCCACCACAGGCTCTGACACAAGAGTCATATCGAGCTGGCCGTGCCCCCTGGCCACGACCCCTTGAGGTCAAACACAGACCTGATGCAGCCCTCAATGAAATTGAGTTTGACACCGCTGCAATGTATTCCCTCATTTATAACTACCAATTCCCTCATTTATAACCACCAATTCCCTCATTCATAACCATTAGGTTGGTGCTGGCTCCATAAACATAGATTTTCTCCAGGACAACCTGGCCCTTCAGCTCTTCCAAGGGCCTACCCATCGCCATTGTAACTGAGTCCATTCATCTCGCTTCTCTTCTTTTTCTTTTGTGGCCCGCCAGGGGCCAGCAGAGCTGGCAGCAGAGTCGGACAGTGAGGAGGTTGGGGAGGAAGATGGGCCAGTCCTGGAGTCTGGGGAAGGCTCTCATGAGGGCTCTGTGTCGGAGGCAGAGTGGCGGCCCGAGCCGTATGCCAGTTATCAGCTGCCTTCAGAGTCAGTGAGGCAGACAAAAAGCTGGAGCCTGTTCCCAGTGTGCGCATGTTCAGAGTTGCCAGACGAAGGGAACAGCTCAAGAACTTGGGAGTAAAGCCAGATGATGAATGGCCTCTCCCAGAGGAAATAAAAGAGGAGCGAAAGGGGAGTGGAGGTTGCAGAAGGGAATGAGTTCGCTAATCGGTTAGTGACTCTCCGAGGCTCCTTGCCAAGTTCTGCAGATATCGGCCTGTCAGCTCTCCAAGCCAGATAAGGTCAGTGACTGTAAATCCTCCCACATCCCTTTGCTGGATGTGAATGAGCAGGATTCACAATTAATAAAAGGGGTTTTTGTCGGAACAAGGAGTTTGTTTCATGCTCTTGGGAAGCCTCAGTCAGAACATTTTCCTTCTACCTTTCCCAGCATTAGAAACTTCATATAGTGTGTTCAAAACATGATAATTAGAGCCTGGTCATTTGATGCCTGCAACTAATCTTCAAGGAAAGGATAAGGAAGGCTAAGGGCAACGTCTAACCATTTTTAAGGGATCCACTTATCAAAGAATTATCTCTGCCCCTAAGGAGCAAAATGCCACAGGTAATCCTTGACTTATGACCACAACGGTGCCCCAAAATTTCCATTGCTAAGCAAGACAGTTGTTCGGTGAGTTTTACGACCTTTCTCGTTAGAATTGTTAAATGAATTCCTGCAGTTGTAAAGTTAGTAACACAGTTGTTAAGTGAACCTGGCTTCCCCATTGACTTTGCTTGTCAGAAGGTCGCAAAAGGGGATACCATGACCCCGGGACACCGCAACCGCCATAAATGCATGCCGGTTGCCAAATGGCAGGATTTTGATCGCATGACCCCAGAGATGCTGCAACGGTCACCAGTGTGAAAAATGGTCATCAATCACTTTTTTCAATGCAGTTGTGACTTCAAAGGGTCACTCAGTGGCCAGGGCAGCGTGCCGCCCCAGGGGGCTCGTGGCAGTCCAGTCTTTGCAGGAAGAGGCTGTGTGCGGTACAGGGAAGCAAAATTCGTCGGGTCCAAGTATTTTTTTCCTTTTAATCCTATGCAATTTGCTGGAGATCCAGAATGGTGAACCTTCCAGTGAGTGGATTGAGTCGATAACTGGGGATTCCCCGGTGGCCAGGGGCGTGTTCCAAAGAGCTTATTTGACTCCATCCAATCAATGAGAGGACAAGGTCAACCCAGTCTGGATACTCCTCCCCCCTCACTATGGAGAATAAAAGCCTTCCAATC